TTTGAGCATGTGTGGCCTAAATAAGCTAAACCCCCCTCCCTTACCTTATTTAGGCCATATGTGGCCTAAATAAGCACTCCCAACATATTTATGGAGCCTAATTCTTTTCTAGACTGAGATCGCCTCAAACACGATGGTCTGTCGTTATTTCGACAAAAACACCAAGCGTTGACCCGCGGTGAGCGAGTTGGCTCTATACTGTAGTGTACCCAGCGTGCGAGGTCACATGCTTTCCCAGTCTCTCGGAAGGATTGATGCAAAATAATTCCAAGCTAATTACTTTATTCTAATAGGAAATAAACTGATCTTTTAATTGATACCTTTTGAGTCGGTATTTTACATTTTTCATATAAAAAATGATCTTTGAAAAATTTGATGGTATTTTTAAAAGCTTTCTATTTAAACGCCAAAGGCCAAAAATATATCGCGGGAAAGCCCGTTTAAAGCTCTACAGTTCTCTGCCAATGAAGAGACTGTATTTAATCATCCCATGTTCCGCGAAGCATTTGAATGCACGCGTGTCAGTTTTTGAACCGGCCGACCGCGCATTCCGACCGCGTGGGGTTTCGCTTTCCTCTGCGACTCTCCAGCTCCTAATAATCGGACATATAAACAACTTACACCTTTGTAACGAGGACAAGCTGAACTTTTTCAAGATTTACGGCATTTGGTGTTTGATAGCGAAAGAGCAAAGAAACAGCAATCGGAATTTACCCCGATTTCACCGATACTACGCGGTCGGAAGGCCTCGAGTGCCCGCGAGGCTGTGTTTACGCTACCTAATAAATAAGACAGGGAATCCATTTCATTTTGTTGGATCCGAGTTTTCATTGAATCCGAGTTAGTTGAAACCGAGTTCCACTGTATTCCTGTACTTAAAATGCTAATGACGTATTGGTTGTGTTAATGCTGCTGCTGAAATTACTTTTAGAAACATTTTCTCTTTCATTAAAACATCTATGAAGCTACATGTGTACTGTTTACCCCAATTGACAATTTTTTTTATTTGATAGTTGGCGATGCTGTACAAAAGTGGTTACCAGGAAGGCAGTTTTTCGAATTTGTGAATAACAATTTTACATTTGCTTCTCATGCACTTTATCTGAATTCTCAAAAAAAAACCGTCTTGGTCTCAGATAAATGAGTATATCCCTCCAGTTTAGCAAGGGTTCAAATTCTCTTTAGGTAAATGTCTCATCTTTTTATTTCACAGCTCTTGTACCTGATGATGTGAAAAAGGAGCTACTGCAAAGAATCCGAACATTCTTAGCCCAGCAATCAGATGTGTGAAGTTATTTTCCTTTGCTCTGTTTTGTTGCAGTGTTTGAACACTTAAAAGAGACTTCCATGCATAGTATTATATTATTGATGGCTATTTTGTCAACTCAGTCGTCCAAGCGGGCTATGTTTATACTTTAATGTAGACCTTAAATTGTATAATGTATTTTGAATAGATTTTAAGTACTTTTTCTTGCTTTGTATAACACATGTATCTGTGTATGATATCACATGTAAATCTTATGCTCACCACTCATTAAGAAAGATCTTGTTGGGTTTATATGCACGGAAATTTGTAGTGCTGCATAGAACTGAGAAAATGTGTTTAGGGATCATAGGGGGTTGAGTTTTCCTGAAATATGATGACTTGTTATTTTATGAGTAGTCAAGCAAATATGGTTAGTTGGTGCAAGTTTTAGCTTCAAGTGAAGCTTTCCTCTGTGATTTGGAGGCTAATGTTTTATTGTGTAATACAGTTGCTCAACATGAGTTCAGGCTATACATAAGCTTTGTTTGCGGGTCACATTCTTCTCCTTTTCATGTTTGCCTTCACTTTCATGCAGCAGGCTAGTACTTGTATTGCCAATGGAAATGTTTTTTTGTGTGTCTGTAATTTTGATTGAGATTGATTCCGGTTCTCTCCTATCTTTTCCCTGCCACAGTTTATTGTGAAAGCGTGCTGTGCAAGTCTATTGTTAAATCAATTGATTGTAAAAAGAACAGGCCCCATTTGTAAGAGATGCTGTGTGAACAGACTCCTTCTTTAGCACATTCCAAGATGAAGACGTTTTTACGAGAAGGGTTTTATAAAATTTTAGTAAATGAATATGTTGGAAAAGTTTGTTTCAAATGGTCCAGAAGCAAGTTGCTCTTTTTTTACTTGCATGCTTTCAATATTAGTTTTTCTAGTCTCTGATACTGAGCACTGAATGTACAGGATTTTTTTTGTTCACCCTTTCCCCCCCTGCCCCAATGCCATTTTCCAGAGATTTGGCTTCATTGAGCACTATTTCATGGAAGAGAGGAGCAGTGCAATTATGCGTGCAATCTCCACATCTTTTGTTGTTGTGATTTCCTGATTCGCTTTTGACATGTACTTCTTGTGCAAGGCTTCAGTGGTATCCAAATTTGTCCTTAAAATTTTGTTCTGCTTGTTTTTCTGTTTTTGCTTACTGTGGTCATGTTGAACAATTGAGTAATGAATGTGTGGTGTTTTAGACTGCCCCATTATGGCCCTAAGAGAAATGTTTTCTCCCTAAAAAGAGAAAACAAAAGACAATGTTGAATTAGGACTTGCTTTGACTTAGGTTCCCTCTTCACAAAAATTGGAACAAATTTTGTTTTTAACAGTTTGTCTCGAATGGTGGCAACAAATGGTTTGATTACTGTCTGAATGCTGACTGGAAGGTTGTGAGGGATGACACTTGTTGGTTTGCCCTGTATGTAAGGATGAAAGGTTGAATATTCGCAATAATGTATGGTTTTTATTTCATCTTAATTATGAGTTCAGTTTGCACTGAATTGTGGTTGTCAGAGGCTATGTGTCATCAGCATTTTCTAGCTCTGAGAGTTGATCAAAATCCTTTGTCATTGCAACTCTTTCATGATGCATATATAATTATCACCTACCCCATTTTATGATATCTACGTAATGCTTTTACTTTATCAGCCAGTTTGTTTTTTTGCATGTTCTATGCATTACATTAGCCTGTAATGCATAAAATGATATTGAATAAACATTACTGCTGATACTAATTTTCAAGCGAAGATTCATTTTTTTTTCTTTTTCGCCTCAAGTATGTTTGGTTCGTTTTGTGAAATAATAAAAACAAATGTGTCATGACAAGGTGGAATCAGGCGCTTGTCAATTTTAGGATATTTGGAGTAATTGGTATTATCTTAACAGCTTGTTCATTTGTCTTGCTTTCGATGGAAAAAAATACACATCTATAAGTTGAGAATATATATGCTGTTACTTTACGGAGTTGGAGGTCATCTGAAGAAAATGGCTGTAGAAATTTGGTGGACACTGTACCATAGCTTAAGAGTCCTTTAAAAATGCGAATTTTTTTTTTTTGTGTGTGCCCTTAATCAATGTTTTCAGTAAAATCTGCTCAGAAATGTTTGAATGGACATAATAGGAGCTATCAAGCCGAAAAACAAAAAAATTGGATAAAAATTGCCTAACGGGAAGAACAATGTTGGTTTCCTCCATTTCATTATTTTGATGAGCGCCTGATTTCACCATGATGCCTCACAAACAGAAATTCTGACAAATGTATCTGATGATGGAGTGTACATGTAAGGTTGGTTTATGTCCTTTGCTTACTCTGTCCCCTTGAATCTGTCTCTAAGAGTCTAAGGAAGCTTTTTTTTTGTGTGTGTGTGTTTTACGGTGCTCGCAACTACATAAACCCATATGAGCGCGCAGGACACGGTAAACTTTTTTCAGGTGGTCATTCGCAGGAAATTTTGAATTTTTGCCTGGAGGATCGCTGAGGCCTACTTTTACACATTGATTTTAGGACCAGGGGATCTTTAATGTGCGAAACTTGCACTTGGGACCTGAGATTTTTCGCCCTTACCTGAGAAGGCTAGGTGTTAGACTTTACCTACCATGAGATCAGGGGTGTGGATGAAAGACGGCAGCGAGGAGCAGCAGTAGAAAGGCTGCAGAAAGAGGAGCACAAAGGAGGGGGCAGAAAGTGGAGATGAAAGTAGGTGACAGGACATAAAAAAGCAGGAAAGGAGGTGAAAGGAGAAAATTTTCCGTCGCTGTCTGGATTTGAACCCGGGAGCTATTGAAAGAGAGGCGAACACCATAACCTCTAGACCTCGAGAGCCACCTTGGGAAGTTTTAGGCCTTGATGAGTGTTTACATGGCATATCATATATGCAGAAGATGCGAGTTGGCTTCTCACACAGGAAAAATGTTTTACTACTGAGTATTTGTAAATTATTGCAGGAATGTCTTCTTAGCTCAAGTTGACCCTGTTAGACTCTTTGAAGCAGCCTGCTGCCTAAATCATCTAAACAGTGTCACTGTTGTCCGAGAACATTTTCAACTTGAAACACTATATTGTGTGGGTGGTTGGTGGGTGCTCTGGTGTGGTTTGCTCCTTCTTTTCTATCAAACATCTATCGTCTTTATCTCCCCTCCTTCTTTTTTGTATTTGTTACTCCCTTGTAATTTTGTAATACTTCTAATCTTTGGCACTTATATATGACCTTATTGTGTTGCAAGTGCCGTAAAACTCTTACGAAAAGAAACAACAACAAAAACCCACTATATTTCCTTGTGATATTCACCCTTACTTTTAAGGAGTAGTATCTTAATGTTAAAATTTTTTTAAATCTTTTAAATTAAGCAACAGTGAAATCAAATGTTATTTGATAGTTTATTGAGCAATGAAGAAAGCACAAACAGGACCATTCTTGATAAAACACATGTATGCAAAGCAAATAAAAATTAATCATCTATCATGTGGTAGGTGGAATCCTTCCTTTCTCTCCAGCTAGACACCACTCGCCACAAGCATGGTTGAGCACCACAATATTATGTTATAATAGAAATCTATGCTTGCGTGCAATGTCACCAACGAAATATTGGGCTCAAATGAAGTATTTCAGTCGCACTCAAGAATACTTTTTATTAGCTCTTGGCAGTATAAGGATACAGAAACTTTTGCAACTTTAGTAATCTCTTTTATGGTAATCATTAATACCATTCAGGAGGGCACTTCTTGCATTTATACGAAGCATTCAATGATCAATAAGTCTTTTACCCTGCCTATGAAGTATGAAGGAATTTTTGTAAATCACTGAAACTTGCAGACTGCTTTGTATCTTTGTGAAACACTGTGTGTGGAGTTTTTAAAAATTCAGATGGTCGGTTTAAACATGAGAGCTCTTTTTGTGAATGTAGTTCATAAATATCGTATGAGGTATGGGGTGAAGCTATTTAAAAAAGTTCTCATGCTGCATAATGATGCTCCAGTGCACAAAGTGGTGAAGGCTACTCAGACATCAAAGCAGCATGATTATGAAATTCTTCCCCACCCTCCGTATTCACCCTCTTACTTTTCCTTTTCCCAAATGTGAAAAAAATTGTCAAAGGACAGCATTTTCATAGAGATTGTAATGTTATAATGAATACAAATAATATATATACCACATAATTGTAAAAAATACAAACAAAAAAGCAGTAAGTCATTCTCGTGTAATAATAATTTTAAAAGTAAGAGCTATATTTTGAGCAAATTGAATGATCAAAAGCTAAAGAAAAATGTGGAAAACTAAAATCTGTTCCAGTTAAACTGGTCAATTTTTATAATCCATAGACTTTCCCTTTTCCTCTAAAAGATATTTTGTGTACGGTAGTGATTAAACTCTAGCAATTTATCGGATTTTTAGAACCCAAATACATCATACATGTGTGTATATCTGGAAAAATGATGTTAATGCAGCCCCTTTTAAAGAATTTCAAACATGATAGATAAAAGAGAAATGTTTAATGATCACACCAATAGAAGTAGAAGGTTTCAAATACCAGGTATGAGGAAACTTGAAAAAAAAGTATACATGAATATCATACACATTCACAGAGCAACATAGCTGCCATAATATAAGTATAAGGCTTTTTCCAGTTTGCTGCCATCTGAGAAAGTCACAAAAAAACAAAACACCATTTTATCCTTTCAACACCGACGACTGTCTTCGTGATGATGCACCTGATAATTCAGGAAGTTGACTCAATTTTTTTTTTAATGTCACCGAGCATTATGCAACAAGCATTGGAAGGAAAACATTGACAAGCAAAGGTATGACGAGACAGAGGTGGGCAGGTTTTCAGAAAAATTGAGTTTGCATTTGGCAAAAACCATAAAAGTTTCTTTCAAATCAGCTTATTTATATTTCCCAAGTTAAACAATATATGGAAGGAAAAAGAGTGAGAGAGGAAAAATCTTATCCTGACAACGATGTGCCATGCAGTTGGCTACACTATGGGCCCAAAAACACCCTGCACTCACTGGGAGCAGGCTATGTCAATAAAAATCTCAAAACATGAGTTTATAAAGTGTTAAATATGTACTCCCAGCTGTAATGACATACAAATCCACTTCAACAATCTGTAAACACACAGGAACTTGCCATTTGAAGTTGTACATCATGCATAGACTGGACCAGATGAATTATAAAGATATTGTCGGTCCCTCTTAAAAGTAATGCGTCTAAAAAACACACTGTTATTTAATAGAAAATATGTAATACATGTACTAAACCTACATGATATAAAATTTGAGACAAAAGAAAAAAAAATAATACACCTTGGCAGTGCTTGAGCTATGTACACATTTACATACACTTTTGGGTGACTAATGAAACATAAAAATATCATTGTCTCAATGTTACTATACCATACCTTTAACAATTGAATATGATGGTAAAAAATACTACATGTACTTTTAACAAATGTAGGCCCTATGGCATATCATAGAGCGTTTTTATTATTTTTATCTAGTAAAGAGGCATCCTTGCACTTGTTGTCACGTTCACACAATATTTTAAAGTTTATCTTGAATTTCAGTTTTAGTTTTAGAATGGAAACAGTCTAATTCTACATCTGAGCTTTTATTTAAAAGTGCCCCCCCCCCCCTAAAAGTTTCTGAATCAGAGTTCAGGGCAAACAACAGAAGTGGATACCTCTGCTGTCATGGTCATACTAGATACTATAGATCTCTATAAAAATCTAAAACTAGCTTGAACTCTGAATCTGCCGGTGACAATAATGTTCTCATTTTATACCTTTGCTTGAGTGTGTTTGTTTTGTGTGCGCGCGTGTGAGAGGTGTGTACGCAGGCAGGGCAAAAATAGCTAATCTCATTGTCATAAATTCTTGTCATTCAGTAGCACTTATTTATTGAGGCTCGGCGGAGACAGAAGTCAGATACTGCGTTTTAGCACCTCAGAATTAATGACATTACTCTACTTCATTAAATTACTTGATGGAATCTTCTCTATCTAGTTTTCTCCTTATAAAACGACTTCCAATATGTTTTTTTCTCCTACATTTGCCTTCAAAGCCCTGCACTTTTAATATAACCCCCCAAAAAAGGAACTTTATCAGAGGAACTGGAACATTTTTTAAGTTTACCATTTTAAAAGAATAAAGCTCTCATTTCTATTCTAAACAAAGCATAATTTTGTACCCTTTGGTATTCAACAGAAAAAGTGTTCTTCATATAATTCACTATTCTGGAAATTAGACCACAACTTACATTCTACATAGGCCCCTATTAGTTTTTCAGAAGGGAAAGAAGCTGCATGAAGCACAAATGGTACGGGTCAGTGAGAAAATGTTTGTGGGCATTTATATTTTTTTCAGATTGATAACATAAAGTTCTGGCAAAGGAAGTCTACAGTCTTTTCTTTTTTTTCTTATATCTACTTTGATAAATTTTGTTCAATTTCATATATTAAGTGATAAACTAAAGCATGGTAATTTCAAGTCCATACAGACAAATGTCATGATTTCAGCATTCTATCAAATGAATACACACATTTTTAAAAAAGGCTGAGACTAAGAAAAACATTAATTATAATGGGATACAAGAATGTATGATATTTCGATATACCAATAATACAAACGGTTGGCTGCCTTTGTTAATACATCAAAACTTGCTGTTAACAAGAAAAGGTCATGGATAAAAAAAAGAATCCTCCATATATACATGTATAGCCCAGTCTCAGTCGGCATATTGTCTCTGTCAACAAAAAATGAGCAACTACGTTTCTTCACGCTTGACATGGTGAATAAAAAATATTAGAGTTGTTCATTTCTGTGTGACAGCGATGCTATAAAGGGTTTTAAAAATCTAGTCTTCTTCAACAGCTTGAACATTGAACTCGACACTCCCATCAACTCCGCTCAGCTGATCTGATGTGAATGTTGCCTCCACTTCTCGGTTGCCAGCCCTGCGAGGGCAGATCTTGAAGTCGTACGTCACTGTTTCATTTGGTTTGATTGGTTTTCTGTTGAAGGCATGAACAGGAAGTTCTTGATTATATTTCATAATTGCCTCGTTGCTGTAACTCAAAAGTCATTCCTAAATTATGAAGACAATACATGACAATTTACTTTACTATCTTCAAATTTTCAGCATGTGAGAATTCATTGCTCACATTATTTTTCCCCATTGAAAAATTCCCACTTTAACTTTAAATTCCTTTGAGCTTTTTTTGTTCTTGCAAATGTTCAGCATTATTATTCTCTGTTGGAGTTTTTACACCCCCAACACAATTTAGATAATTTAGGAATCAGATTTCTGACCGTGCCTATCAGAGCCATCACGGACTGAGAGGGACAAACATCCCTATAGAAAGACAATAGAACTGCCAACTCTCTCCTGCGTGTGACAGCAAAGCACCGTGCCACTAGACCACAGATACTGGTTAGATATCTCTGTGGTGTTTCACTTTACAAAATGTTGATAACAGAAATCATAACTTTCCTCAACTTCCCATTAAAAAACTTGAAATAGCGTGAACTTTCGTTCTTTACTACTGCACTTTCTGAGGTGTCTAAAACTTCTCAGCACAGTGAGATATAATATCCTGTCCCCGTGGTTTTATGCACCCCACATAATTTAGCAAAATTTGATAATTTTTTGCATAATTTCTGATTATTTTCCTTTATCATTCTTTGTTAAAATTAACAGAATCGCATAATTTCACATTTTTGGGCTCACTTTGCATAATTTCAGAATTTTTCTTGCATAAAACGACAGGGATATAATATCCGTATGATGTGGTTGTGGTTTGCTATACTCGTTCTGAAACCAAAATGGGCCGACCATACCCCTAAAGTTAAGTGTTTTAAAAAAGTTAAGTTTTGCATTTTATTAAATTTTGGAAGGAACTTTTAAAATGTTATATTTCTGGAATACAACGGTCAGTTTTATTAATACTGACAAATCAGACGTCCCCTTGGTTGAATTTTATTTGTATGCAGTTTTGATGAAATTGGCACAAAGATGAACAAGTTATTGCTCTTTAACTTTAAATAAGTCCTCTTTCTTAAAGAAACCCTGTATTATATTTTGGAGAAAATATTCACATAACCATAAGGTCTGACCCCTTAAAAAGTGACCTAGCAAAGTGTATAATGGCTATCCACTTTTCAAACAAAGTTATAATTTTCACATTTGAGTTTGCCATTTAAAAAAAGTTTGTAAATGTACACTAATCACATGGTATTTTGGAAGTAGTAATTTTGTAAAGGATACGGTAGTTAGAATGCTATCTCAAAGGCAACATATTTGTCACATTAGATATCTCAAATTCAAACAATTAATTGGCCATATCAGTCTATGAGATACTCACGAGATGCTGAAAGTGTCGGCCGACATGACGGAGGCACCCTCCAAGTTTATAACACCAGACGTCAGATTGTGATCCAAGGGGTTGGTAAATGTCACCGTTCCAGTGCACACTTCTTTGGCTTTTATAACATCTGGAACCTGTTGCAATGAAATGGACAGAACTGTTTTGTAGTTTATTTTGAAGGTAAAAGTCATTCTACTTCAATGAAATATTGTTTTTCTTAATTTTTAAAAAATCAAAAGATTTTTGTCAAAACTTATAGAACAGCACAAGAAACAGTTGAGGAAACCAATAAATTTATTTCACAATCTTATTAAGCTAATTCACTGATGATAGGTGAGGATTAAAAAAAAAATCTTACTTTCCGTCTTGGGCATATTTTTGATCTTTGTCAACTAAAGTACTACTGCAGGAAAAGAAAAAAGGATTACTTGGTTTACTGACCGTTATATCCAAGAATGGTTTGACCAGAGTGAACGCCTGGGTCTGAGCAAACTGCTGCTCTGTTTCTGTGACGTGGAGAGAAGCGTAGGCCTTCAGACTGGCCTCTGGGTTCAACTTGCTCAAGTAGTCCGACTTAGTTACTTCAAGGATCAGGTCAGACTCTAGAGAAAATCACACAGAAATATACCTTAGATATTGTTCACAATGCAATCATCTGTTTTACAATTAGGGATAGTAAAAGAGAATGCTTTTTACAAAACCTCCAGCAACACAAATTGTGGTTTTTGTGCTTATAAAAAGCTGTAACCATTGTATTGCATTATCTATGTTGTATACAATGTCAGCATGTGGTGCATGAGCACACATACACACACACATACACACACAAACACACACACACACGTGCACATAGAGAGTTGAGGGTGGGAGAGAGAGAGAGAGAGAGAGAGAAATTTAAGTTTCTGATCTTAAATCATCTTATTTTATTAGTACTGGACACAGCAAAAAACAAAATACCAATTTATTTTGTAACTTTTACACACAATCGCTTTGTTCATGACATATTGTGAGAATACCCCAGTGAGTTATGAAATATTATGTCAGAGAGACAAGGATCCTTCCTGCTCCATCTGAAAAGTTTGTAATTTTATGGGGCTGTAAGTGTAAGACATCTACTATCTACCTTCTTTCAGTGGAGTAAACAGAGTTCAGGGATGATTTTTGCAGTTTTGGTTCAGGCAGGACTATTCATATAGGCCTCTATCCGTGTCTTTAAGTCTGTGCATTTATTTTGATGCAAAACATATCCCGTCTCACCAAAACTGAAAGTTTTCCTTTGTTTGAACCTCAGAAATTTGAAGATGGGAAAAGAACCAAATGGCACTCTTTCCACTCATTTGGAATTGGCCCTGGTTCAAATCCCAGACTAGGTGTTCTTGAACTCTTGTCCTTTTGTTGAGTTTTCTCAACTCATATTTGGTAATTACCGATTGGAGACGGAATTAAATTCAGAGGTCCTGACTCTTCAATAACACTAAAAGTATTGATAGGGGCATTTAACCCATACACTTTCATTAAAAGAACCCAAAGAACAAATGGTCCTTTTTGCTTAAACCTACCTTCATTAGGATTCACATCTACAGTAAACTGCTGCCCCTTCACTCGTTTCCCAGGAATTCCAGTGTAGAACGAACTGAGGACAGTCAAGCGGCCATACACAGAGCGCTTTTCATTGGAAATGTTCTTCACTCGAGCTACAACCTGTGGGTCAAACAACAACAGAAAAATCCCTGGCTGAGTACAGAGAAAGCTGTAGTGCAGGTTCAAATAGTCAAAAACACCAGATTCATATGTGGATATATGAATGAGTTTGCATCAAAATTACCATTTATAAAGCTTGGCACTCCAAAGCGGAAAGTCCAGGTTCGAGTCTCGGCTCGGACACAGATTTTTTTCGCCCCCTCCTGCCCACCCAGTAGTAATGGGTACCTGACTTCGAGTTGGGAAAGTAAAGGCGGCCTAGAAAGGAACAGGCCACCCTACCACAAAATGCCAAAGGTCCAGGAAGTTGTCTGACTAAACAAAGCACTCCCCATTGTCCGGATCGGATGAGGGAACAACTTTACTTTACTTTACACTAGTGACTATGACAATTAGTAAGATTGAATTGACACGTGTAATCTCTTTTGAAAAAATTAATAGCATCTGTCTTGAATTTAAAAAAAAAATAAGGAAAGTGAGGCTTGGGGACATTTGTTTGGCAAAACATATATATTATATAATCTAGATCCTTGGCCATTTTGCTTAAGTGGCAGAGCGAATTACCAAGAGATTACAGCCCAGTTAGCATCTATATATGTGACTTCTGTATAACATTGAAGAGCATCACTGATAGGTTCTCCTTCTCGATTATCCTATTGCCTTTGTTGCTTTTTTCCCCATCAGTAAGAAACTGTTACCTAGTTCTTGGGCTTTTCTGGGACTGAAACAAGAGATGCTTCTTTCTTAACAGTGCCCTTTGAATTAGTGTCTTTAAACTAAAAAACTACAGTCCGTGCCGGCTATAAGCACGCCGGCTTAAAGCATGTTTCGGACTCAAGCACGTTAAACGGCTCTTACCGAATTTTTGCTATATAAATTCCACGCCTTTAAGCACGTTAACTTCGGCTTTAAGCACGCTTCATTTACAAGACAGTCAATATTTTCATGATGACCCATCGAAGTTCGAACACAGTCTACACCGCAGCAGTGGAGTGTGTCAAGAGAAACACAAAGAACGCAAGTGATGGACTCTCCTCACACTCACACGGGCGAAGAGGAAGGCAGATGCACACAGTCGCGCGCGCGGACATAGGATTTAGCCTAGGCCTAGGGCAAAGCTACGCACGACCAAAAAAAAATACAAAGAGAGTCGGGGAGGCGAGAAAGGGAGGCTGGCTGCGATTTCACCTTTGACCTTCGCTATCCATTAATCCTGATTGTGTATCACGCGCGAGGTGGGATGAAGGCGGTGGTATGAGTATGAGTGGCACAGCGGGCTGTGGTACGCACATGCAGTGTGTAGGCCTAGTGTGCTGTTTCGTGACTGGCCGTCTAAATTAAGTTTTCATTTCCCATTCCAAAACAAAAACAAACAAGCAAAACAAAAACTACCATGGCGGGTGTCTAAATAACAGTGCACACTTTTGCGGGACCGCTATAGGCCTACTTACAAACAAAGGGAAATAGCACGAGAAATTTTCTACATGAAAATCTCTGGATTATGTCTACTTCGCACTCAAGCACGCTTCGGCTTTAAGCACGCTCAAGCTTTCTCCCGACGACCGTGCTTAAAGCTGGCATGGACTGTATAACCATGCAATTTTAGCTACTCATCCTCTTTTGAGGGGGATACTTCCAGCAACAAAATAATTTCTTATTTAGACCTCTTTGACTTGATAAAGGGAAAAGAGTCATCTCAAGAGTCAAATTGACAAGTTTTGTTACTTTCTGTTTAGCCTAAGTTTTATTTACCTCGAAATTTTCACCCAAAGATGCAGCATGAGGAATAACAAGCTCAAATGTTACATCTTGATCTTCTTTGTCATATATCTCGTATTCTGCGCGGGAGCTGTAGTTATGCACAAATTCCACCACTTTGCGTTCTTCTTCAGAGTCTGGAAGAGAAAAGACATTTTCAAATCTGTTGTTTTGATTTGAAGTTTACACAATCATATGAATATATAGGCCTACATGTACATGTACGATCAATTTTTTTGACAGCTTCATTCAAAGTTCAGAAATGCTACACTAATGTAAGCATGCACACACACACACAAACACACACCACACACACACACATACACACACAAATATAAACACATTTACACATACATTCATACACATACACACACACATGCATGCACATGAACACACACACACACATACACACACACACACTCACACACACACACACACACACACACACACACATGAGCCGGTACACTGTTTGCACTAACTGCCTCAGAAGAGAATTTCCTGCTTTGTGTATGAAAAACACAAAACTTTGACCAAAAAACTGTGCTTCCGTCATAAAATCTCGGCACATCTTGCTTTTAACAACATAATTTGAGGATGAAAAATGCTACATGTACTCTAAACAAATATAATAAACTATAAAATCAGAGGAAAGTGAACTTTTTTTTTCTCCTCAAAAGTTCGTCTTGATGGATGTTTGCATTGTAAGAATTATACAGAAAAATAATATGCTTAAGAAAACTTTCAGGAAAATACAATTAACTCCAAATAAGCACAGCACAGCACCCAAAACATGTGCAAACACACAGAAAGGATGCTGAATCATACCATATACATGGCACTAAGAATTGACACAGCATCCCTTTTCCATATGATAAACTCTTTTTTGGGGGGGTTCTGTGTCCTACCTCTATGAGTGTCTGATGTTGATTATGTATACAATATAAATTGTAAGACGTTTCAATGGTAAAAAAAATCACTTGTAATTGTAAATTGCTGCTGCTGCAATTGCCGCTCCTGAAGAAACATAGCTATATGTGTCCAGAAATATGATGATGGTGATGATATGATGATGATACCATTAACTCACTTTCAGGGTACTTGTAAGCCAGAGTCAGATCATTGCGGAAGTTACTGCCTACAGACTTTGTGCTGATGAATTTACCAACGGAGTGGGTGTCTATGTTGATGACCTTCATCTCTCCATTGGCCAGGACCTATCCAATAGAAATAACAAATAAAAAAAACAGAATAAGTTAAAGACAATGTTAAACACTAGTACTCCTAAAATGACAGGTTTACATGCTTTCACAATAGCCCGGGAGGCTGGTTTTCCTTCTCAGTTCTCCGTCGGAATATACATCAGTCATGTAAAGGTACAATCAAATACATACTGTGCTACTGATTTCGTTTCTTAGTAAATCTCAATGATTGTCACACCAAGAGGTTTAATTCAAAAGAATAAAATGAAAACAAATAAAATAAAATAGGAAAAACAGTGGTGTACTTGAAATGAGATTATTTAATTGAAGATAGAATGTTCCTATCAAATTTGCTTGATTTGAGGAACTTGTATCTTGACTTTTTTCATAGCTCTCTGTGACTCCATTACCTTGTTCCATCCTAATATTCTGAGACTTTCACTTTTCTTGTTGAGCAACACCTATTACTAACAGTGAGACATTTCATGTTGCATTATTAAAAACAGATAAAAAGGATTAGAATAAGTTAAAATGCTTATTCGCGCTAAAAACAAAAAGAGAAGGTTTTGAACATCCACAACATACCTTCCAGTTCACTCTGTCACCATTAACCTCACTAAAGATGAATGGTACATCATAGTTGAGATAAACATGACCTTCCATAATAGCCCGCATAGAGGCTGGTCCACAGCGCATCACACCTTAGCAGAAAAGAATGTGTTTGTTGAGAAAAAGAAATAAAATAAAAGTAAAACAAAAAAATATTTATTCATTTCTATGTGTGGATATTGGTTTTATATGTTACTAGCTGGGCCCCCTTTCGATGAAAGGAGTGATCGGTGTATTAAGGTCAGCAGAAAGTAATTGGCTTATATTTACATATTCAACTGGAATGGAGCAAATTTTGAGAGATGCAAAAATTAGAAGGTTTAGATCTATACTCTCAAAACAGTGCGCACGGTTAGTGAACGGAAACCTCCTTTTCTAAAATTACAGATACAGAAGCGTTGGCCAACAAAAGCAATCGGCGAAATAGAGAAATTTAGCTTTTTGCGGCAAAACTGTCTCAAAATTTTAAAAAAGGAAGGGCGTGATGATCTGGAGAATATTTTAAAGAATCTTTTGGCGAAAACCGCATGTCGATCGATGCAGCCATTAAAAAGCCTTTTGAATAGCAAAATTCGGCCACCACAAATAGATAATAGACAAGCATACACCTTGTGGGTAAATCCTGTTTAACTTAATTTTGCTTGAATCATATCAAAGTGCACACATGTACACACACACACACACGCACATATACACACGCATACACATACACATGCATGCACATGATGCATACACACACCTACTGCAACATGACACCAAACAAAAGAGAAGAAGCTCCCTGAACATATCCCTTTTTAAAAATATTCCGTTGCTTAGTCTGGTAAAATGAATGGTAAGTAGTTTTTCCTTGTTAAAACGAGCTAGTCATGAAGACAGTTTAACAAAATTTAAACTGACATTGTAACCTAATAGATCTAATCATACAAAAAAAGATTTCTGCTGTAGTTACCTTCACTAAGCTCCTGTGGTGTGGCATCATGAGCCTGCCAGCCGTCATAACCTTTGGGAAGATCTAGCCTTCTGAAGAAAGATTCGTTCCACACATGGAAGTTCCTGAGAACAAAACACAAGTGCCATGTAATAATATTATGATATCTTTGAAAAGATGCTTTGTGTTTGAATCCAAGGAAAGGGCCTTTTCCAGTTTTGGTGACCTCTTTTCCAAAATTCTAAATTAGATTAAAGAATTGACTTCAAATGACTTTTATCACTCTTAAAAGAGAGCCTTCTGATTGAGATTCGTTACAATGTTCAACTTCAAGCAAATGATTTAAAAATAATCCACAATTACCACAAGAGAAGTACCTCATGTCACTTTTTTAAATCCTTTCCTTTAGCATGATGTAACTTCTTCAACCTCACACCTTTTGAACTGTGCTCTCAGAAAATTAAGTTATCAGTCTTGAAAGTCAGTATAACTTAAGTATAACGCTTTCTTTTATCTTAACAAAGCAGCAGAATGAATAAGTTGCTATTTGGTAGAATATCTTGATCAAAATGATTTATCATGGTAAGGCAAAATGTCAGCTTAAGTGAATTTATGTTGCAAAGTATCAACATTATCATGATAAGAATAAGATCTGAGACAGACATCGGTTAGCGCTATTTCTCTGCCCTGATGCTCTCAAAAAACCTAAGTTCCCTAGTCATTCCCCGTAAACTATCTGTTTAAGTTCCTTTAAGTATTTCTGGTAGGTTGTTTTTGCTCTACTCCTGCCTCTTGTGCCTTCTATTTTCTCAATGAGAGAAAGATATTCAAGGTCTTTATGTCTAGTTAGGGAAAAAGAGAAGTCTATTCAGAAACTGCATTTGTCCCTTCCTGAAAACCACATCATTTGATTTTTTTCTCTTTCCAATAAATGTTCAAGTCTCCTAAGAAACTAAATTTTTGTTGCTTCCAGTTTGAAATTTCCATAATCCTTGGTAAATGTTCACTATTCACAGCCATATTATATAGAAAGGTTGACCACACATAGCTTTTTTAAAGTGTTATTTTAGCTGCTACTGAAATTTTCTATTTTTAAGGACAGGACTCATTTTGTTGGAAACGATCATTAGTTATTGCAGGGTATATCTTGCAATATTTTGAAGGTATGCTTACTCTACAAACCCACCACCCCAAAACAAACAAACAAACAAAACAAACTAGATAAATACCAAACAGAGTCGTCCATCCATGTCACTGGCTCATCATCCTCATCAAAATGACTGTCTATGGTCATGCTGCAGTCTGTGTCATGAGCTGATTCAAAGTTGGTCACCGAGCGTGTCGGAATTCCCAAGGACCGTAGTACTGAAGTTAGAGAAAAAGAGAAGAAATGAGTGGAGAAGAAGTTACAAAAGATGAGAAGTTATTCAGCATCTGCATTATGTCACAAAATGTAAGAACCATAAAAAGGTTTTGATTTTGCTCCAGAAAGTGTTATGGATTCATTTTTTAATTTTTTGGCAGGGCCTACTCATATTTGTAAGAGCTGATGAAAGCAAAAATTAATATTGCCTCCATTTAATCAAATTAATATCTTGCTTTTGCTGAAATCTGACACCCAACTTGACTGGAAGTAGATCTATGCGAAGTTAGAGACAGCAGGTCTCCTTATATACATAACATTGTTGAGAAGATATCTCATAGAAAAGATGGGAAATTCAAGTTTTAATTTAGTTTAGTTAAGTTTGGCAAGAGTTACTACGCGTTCACAACTGCCTAATCTTTAAACATTCAGGTACTGGTCAAGTTCATAAAGTATCGTACTGTCTAGCTTGGAACTTCTTTTTCTCTTTCTGAATCAACTCACACTATCCCTTACACACTTTTTCTGGACAACCATTCAGGCTTTTGAGATTTCTTTAAGAAAACAGTGTCCTTTTCAAAAGTATAAATGTACACTTACATTTGCATTATACGAGTATTAGCTGACTTCTTAGCTCTCAAAGTTCAAATAAAAGTTTTGTGTACAAGCACTCAGAATGTGAACAATTAGTGACATTGACAATGTTGAAAAAGGTGTTTTCTTTGAGGAAGGCCAGTATTGCTTTTAGGCTGTTTCAGTCGCAGAACCTCAAAAATTAGCTTGTTTTCTGGAGATTTCAGAAAGACAAAGTGTTTTTCGGTCTTACCCAGAGCATATAACACACACACACACACACGCACGCACGCATGCAAGCATGCACACACACACACGCACACACACACACACACACACACACACACACACACACACACTTGCAATGGTAAGTCACATTCATGTATCTAATTTATCAAACAACATTCAAGCCACTTCAAAAAGTCAAGTCCTTGACTTAAGTAGGAATGACCCACAGCCTCTCAGTGCATTAGTCTGATGATCAAACACTTGCAGCACATAATGACAAATACCCAAGGAGTAACATTTACGATCTGTGTTACGGGTTTGAGTGTTCGAGCCTCAGATCTGACACTGTATCCTTGGGATAGGCACTTTACACAAATTTTCCTCACTTCACCGCAGTGGGAACAGGTACCCGGCCATAGACAGCAGAAGACCTTGTCAGTATGTTAGTGTTTTAGCACCTATAAAATGGCAGCTTGCACTGTATGCTTCCCAGGAAGTGGACATTGTTCCAGAATGCTATCAGGTTTGCTGGGGAACTAGATCGTAAAGCGCATAGAGCTTGCTGTTGGGCTCTGCATAATGAAAATAAAAATGTAGCAAAAATATTTTGCTAAGCGTACGTACAGCTTGTGACAAGGCCTGAAAAGACCCAGCACTGGCCAAATTTGACCGGCTTCCCTGAGTCCATAAACTCCTTCAGGATCTTCACACTGCCTGTCCAGGACCATGGCAAAGTACAGTCTTTGGGATATTTCTCTGTCCACCTTCCTTCTAGGACACCATTATCATCACAACTGTTGGCCTGCAAAGGATGATTTAAAATCTGACAAGAATACATGTATAAATTATATTGAGATAAATTAAGTCATGTGTACTCCTGGCAAGGTCAAATTAAATTTTGAACTCAAAATATAACACACTCACTTCAGAATGGAAAAGACTGAAATATGTTTATTTATTTAAAATATTCTGTACAGTTTTAATAAAGTGTTTTATCTTAAACAAAGGTAAGGTGAAATTTTAACTATTCATGAGGTGAATTTATAATTACTTGAGAGGGTTGGTTACATGTATGGAATACTACCAGTTCATGAGACAAAGGCCACAAAACTTACACATTAAATTTTCCGAAAAAGATTACAGAGCATTGAACATTTTCTTAAATATAAAAAATCTTACCAAGGCTGATATTGTGCGAACAAATGAAACTGGGCTTCTACGTGCTGTATCTCCAACTTCTCCTTTGTCCATCAGCAGCAAAGCAGCCTCTAACACAGGGTTGTCAAACTGATGGAAATATAAAATAAATGATATCTCATACTAAACAACAACAGTTTTCAGGAATTGTTTTAAAAAAGATGAAGATAATTGTGCTTTGATATGCAAAGGGTTGAATTTGTGAAATTTCAAAAGCATACATTTTTTAAATGCCATTTTTAGACTCAATTTTCCCTGACACTTAGAATTGTCACTGGATCCCAAAACTTCCTTTCATATTCACATATCTTTAACTGACAAACAGCCTGCTTTGCTTTTGTACGCATTGAACACCCTGGTAGACTCATACAATTTATTCAGTAAAGGAAAAAAACCCACCCTGTTTCAGTCTTCTCATAAATAGATCTATAGCTACTAAAGTTTTAGTAAGAAGAAGAATCTTTTCTTTAACAAAAATTGTACATGTACCTGTCCAAAGTTCCAGGGTCTTCCACAATGGTTGAAAGCTGATCCTACCCATATTCTTCCACGATCATTCAGTACATATTCAAATCTTTCATCACTCTCCTCCATATACACCAGGTCATCTGAGAAAAACAGTTTTGAAAAGTCATGCAATAGTGATAATGATGGTGTCAAAGAACATTTAAACATTTTATCAAATACATTCCTTTTCCCCCAATTTCCTCATATCCACACAGTTTTATTTATTTTTTTTTTGTTCAAGGGGAGAGTGTGTAATGAAAGCATTTTGATGTTGTATTTTGATTGGGTAAATGCGTGGTTTTTTTGGCATAAAAATATGGAGAAGGGAGAAATTAAGAGAAGAAAAGAGAGAAGGGAGTGAGAGAAGGGAGTGAGAGAGAGGGAGTGAGACAAGAGGGGGAGGGGGAGAGAGAGAGAGAGAGAGAGAGAGAGAGAGAGAGAGAGAGAGAGAGAGAGAGAGAGAGAGAGAGAGAGAGAGAGAGACTGTGTCTTAGAAAAGGTACTTGAACTCAGCAAAATTAACTAATGCCTTTTCAGCAACAGATATGACTTCTCTGACAATGGGAGAACTTATTTTTTCACCTTACTCCACATACCAAGACCAAAGAGCAATATTTTTGCTAAGAAAAGAGAAGAAGCACTAAAGGTACTATTCGTAAGGACAATTTCTACTGTATTAGTATCAATAAATGTTTAGGTCTTCGCCATGTTGAAAGCTAGTTTTGATTAAAAACTCCCTCTTTTTGCCTACCTTTACACCAAGGATTGAAAATTACAAAAACTTCGTCATCTTCCATTTCAAATCTGCGAAGTGAACTGTCATCCTCCTTCAAGCTTGTCTCAAGGTACACTCCATACTTCCCAACTAAGGCATTTGGCGGGGGTGTTACACTGAACGTGAGGTCAGCTCCCTCTATTTGTTTGACTTGTGCCGACCACTTCCCCATGGTTGAGTTGACTGACTGACCAATGTCCTTGATGTCCAGTCGTAGCCTCAGCAGTGTGGCTTTGCTTTCTTGGGGTTTACTCCCTGTTTCACACAATAAATAGTAGGAAAATATATACGTTAATGTAGTACACAAACTAACAGTGAAAGGAATGTTATTATAAGTATAATCACACCGTGGCTATAGCTTCAGTTAACATTAAAGTAATTCTGCCTAGTGTGTCGTCCTTTCCAAGCCAATAAGCTCTCACAATTTTTCCCCTTTAGGCAGCAAGTTCATACTTTCCTCCTCCTCTAGGTGTTCTCGTTAGTCAGTATAAATGAAAAGACCATCTACTCCTGCTCTTGGCACTACTTCACACCCAAACATTCATATATTGAATGTACGGCATGATCTCGGTTGATCAATCTCTTCCAGAAAACAAAGAGATTGGTCAATACAAATACATGAAGTTAAGGATACCTTTAATAAAGGACACTGCAATATTCTTCTAATACTAAAAAGTTGTTCCCTTTTCCGATCCGGATATTGGCGATTGCCTTGTTAGTGGGACAACTTCCTGGGCCTTCGGTATACTGTGGTAGGGTGACCAGTCCCTTTCCATGCCGTCTCTACTTCCCCAACTCGAAGTCAGTTACCCATTACTGCTGGGTGGGCAGGAGGGGGCGATAAAAATTTGTGTCCGAACTGAGGATCGAACCCGAACTTTCCGCTTAGGAGACGAGCGCACTAACCGCTCCTCCATGGCACCCTCCTTCTACTACTACATACAAAGAAAAGAAGGAAGAGAGATGAAGGAAATTGACGTTTTATAGTAAAAAAGGAGCAAACCACACTAGAGCACATGTAACCACCAACTATTCTCCAACAGTAGTCTATTTGATATTTTCTTTTTTTAAAAATCAGTTGCCAATTGGGTTGAAGAACGGTTGACTACCCCTAGGATCTAAAAAACGGAAAAATGGGGGGGTGCATAAGAAGAAAAGAAACCTGTTCTCACCAAAAGCAAACTGGACTACCACTGAGTCATTTTCCTTGTCCACGTCTCTGTCAAATGTGACCGTTGCAGTGAATGGCTGACCACGTCTGACCACCAGGTCCAGCACTTCATACTCCCCAGTGTGATGGTCACGGCCGTTTTTTACCTTGTTCAAGTCGAGGCTTCCAACTGCCAAAGCCTTGCTGGGAGCTTTGGAAACCAATAGAAAGAGGGAACCATTAAGTAATTCTCATCAAAGCTGGGTTTAAAAAAAAATCTTTTTATATAGAGAGACCTTATCTGTATCTGTGAAGGGATTTTTTGCACTAGGTGAGATCTAAGTCTAAAATTACACACACACACACACACACACACACA